GACGACGACGACGCCGACGGAAGACGCCGACGGAAGACGACGCCTACGCTCACGCTGACGACGACGACGACGCCGCCGACGACGACGGAAGACGCCGAGGCCGCGTAAGCCGACGCCTGCGCCGACGCCGACAGAAGACGACGCCTACGCCGACGGAAGACGACGCCGACTGAAGACGACGACGACGCGGAAGACGACGACGCCGACGGAAGACGACGACGAAACCGACGCCGACGCCGACGCCGACGACACCGATGCGTAACACGACGACGACGACGACGGAAGACGACGCCGATGGAAAACGACGACGACGGAAAACGACAACGGAAAACAACAACGACGGAAGACGACGACGACGACGGGAGACGACGACGACGCCGACGCCGACGCCGACGACGACGACGACGGAAGACGCCGACGGCGACGTCGACGTCGACGGAGACGGCGACGAGGACGAAGACGACGCCTACGCTCACGTCGACGCCGACGGAAGACGACGCCGACGCCGATGGAAGATGACGACGACGCCGACAGACGACGCCGACGCCGACGCCGACGCCGACGCCGACGACGTCGACGACGAAGGAAGACGCCAATAGAACACGACGCCGACGCCAACGCCGACGCCGACGACGCCTACGCCGACGCCTACGCCGATGCCGACGCCGACGGAAGACGACGACGACGCCGACGGAAGACACCGACGGCGACGAGGACGACGACGACGCCTACGCTCACGTCGACGCCGACGGAAGACGACGCCGACGCCGATGGAAGATGACGACGACGCCGACAGACGACGCCGACGCCGACGCCGACGCCGACGACGTCGGCGACGAAGGAAGACGCCAATAGAACACGACGCCGACGCCGACGCCGACGACGACGACGCCTACGCCGACGCCTACGCCGATGCCGACGCCGACGGAAGACGACGACGACGACGACGACGCCGACGGAAGACAACGACGACGACGGAAGACGGCAACGACGACGACGACGACGACACCGACGCCGACGCCGACGACGACGACGACTCCGACGCCGACTCCGACGCCGACGACGCCGACGCCTACGCTCACGCCGACGCCGACGGGAGACGACGACGACGCCGACGGAATACGCCGACGGAAGACGACGCCGACACCGACGCCGACGCCGACGCCGACGCCGACGACGACGACGGAAAACGACGACGACGCGGAAGACGGCGACGACGGCGGCGACGACGACGGTGCGACGCCAACGCCGACGCCGACGCCGACGTCACCGACGCGTAACCCGACGACGCCGACGACGACGACGCCGACGACGCCGACGACGACGACGAAAGACGACGCCGATGGAAGACGACGACGACGGAAAACGACGACGACGGTAAACGACGACGACGGAAGACGACGACGACGACGCCGACGGCGACGGCGACGAGGACGATGCCGACGCCGACGCTCACGCCGACACCGACGGAAGACGATGACGATGCCGACGACGACGACGACGCTGACGCCGACGCCGACGCCGACGCCGACGCCGCCGACGACGGCGACGACGACGCCTACGCCGACGCCAATGGAAGACGACGCCGACGCCGACGAAAGATGACGACAACGCCGACGGAAGGCGCCGACGACGACGCCCACGACAACGATGACGACGCCGACGACGACGACGACACCGACGCCGACGCCGACGCCGACGCCGACGCCCACGCCGACGCCGACGCCGACGCCGACGCCGACGCCGACGACGCCTACGCCGACGCCGACGCCGACGCCGACGCTGACGAAGACGCCAACGGAAGACGACCCCGACGCCGACGAAAGATGACGACAACGCCGACGGAAGGCGCCAACGAAGACGCCGACGTCAACGGAAGACGACGACGACGCCGACGGAAGACAACGACGACGACGCGGAAGACGACGACGACGTCGACGACGACGACGACGACGACACCGACGCCGACGCCGACTCCGACGCCGACGACGACGCCGACGCCGACGCCAACGACGACGACGACGACGCCTACGCCTACGACGACCCCAACGCCGACGGGAGACGACGCCGGCGGAAGACGCCGACGGAAGACGACGCCGAGGACGACGACGACGACGACGATGACGACGACGACGACAACGATGACGACGACGACGACGACGACGACTATGACGAATCATCCCGCACCCGCGCCCCACACCCACATGGGGAGGTGGCGGGGCACTGGCAAGCACCACCACGCCAGGCCCACAGGGCCATGACCACGGGGGGCGCCGCTCAGATGCGACGCCCAACCAGCGGGGAGGGGGGGGGAGGGGGGCTCGATCCCATGTGTATTGGGGGCCAGGCAGCCCTCGATCGTGCAGCGCCGCCCCCTTGCGCAACCCCTGGCCGGCTCCAAGGCCCAAGGAGCCTGGGTGTGGAAGAGCCCTTGATGGGCCTGTTATCCACCACCACCACCACCATAAGTCGGAGGGGGGAAGGAGGACGATCAGGAGGAGGAGACGAAGAGGAGGAGGAGGAGGAGGAGGAGGAGGAGGAGGAGGAAGAGGAGGAGGAGGAGGAGGAGGAGGACCCCCTCCCCCTCCAACTTATGGTGGTGGTGGTGGTGGAAAACAAGCCCATCAGCCCCGGGGCTTGCTCGAGGTCGACGACCGCGCCCCCGGGAGGCCGCTGCAGACTGCCGGCGAAGGGGGTCTACTCTTAGGTCGGGCATGTCCCCCTACAGGCGGATTTTGGGAGACAAATGCAAATAACTCCAAAAAAACATTCCAAAATAAACAAAATAGTAGAACAATCGTCCCCAGACTACTGAAACTATTTTTAAACATATTCCTACTTACGCCTGCTCTCCCAACGCCCGTCGCTCGAGGGCCACCCCTGGATTCCAGTCTGGGCCGTGCCGACGGGGCATCAAAATTGCTGGCGCGACTCCCTACAGTGCGGGCGCGGCCGCAAGAAATCCTCCAAGAGACCCAGCCCGAACTCGGCAGCTGCTTCCACGGCTGCGGGAAGTCACCGCGCAGCGAGCGGTGCGAAGAAACCCAAGATAACCTGGACAAAAAACACATGGCTTCTGGATGCGCGCCCCCACTAGATTCTTGCCAGTGCTGCCATGGGGATGGCGTCGCCTGATGGGGGGGCGATAAATGGAAGGGGAGAAGAGAAAGGTGACCCTCTTTGGGGGGCGCTGAAAGGCCCACTCCGGGCCCCAAAAAAGGGCCTCTGCAGGGGCCCGAAAGGGCTCCTTTTCGGTAGCCCTCGCTGCCCTCCCATGTTTCGCCGGCCCGTCACGCGACGCCCAAGGGATTGCGTCCTTATTGTTTCTGGGTCGCGGTCCGTTGGGGGGGGGAGGGCCGAGGCCCTGGGTCAGGGTAGCGCTCGAGCGCGGTGTGGCACTTCGGGGCGGGCGTGCGCTGCGATCGCCACAGTACGCGCGCGAGCACCATGGTGTGGGGGGTGGAGGTCCAGCCCCTCCCCCCTACCCCCGGGGGGGTCGGGGCAAAGGGGCTGGCCCGGTTAACGACCAGCACGCGCCAGAGGAACAAAAGCACAATCTCCTTGCCACTGGTGCGCTGCCTTCCACCCACGAGAACCTTGGAGCACACTGGGGATGAGTGCTCCACGAAACAGAGCTGCAAAGGGGAGAACCGCGTGACTTCGGAATCTGGGCAAACATACGCCAGCCTCACTCCGAGCATTCCTTTCATTGCAAAGAGTTCCCCCTGTGTCCAGATTCTGGCGTCGCGCACGGATGGGTAAGACAAAAGGGTGCGGCCTTCTAATGAGGCAGGGGGCTTCTCAGAGGGGACCGCGTATATCCAAGATTGCCACTCAAGAGGCAGGATGGATTCTCGGACGCCCCCCTCGTCGTAGAGCGCCCCCCTCTCCCAGCTCCCTTCTGGGACATCCCGCGGTGTGTTTTTTCAAGCCGCGGGCCCTCGATGCCGTGCAGGCCGAGGGGCAGGTCGACCATCGCCAGAGTCATCACTGCCATTGCCATCATCATCATCATCATCATCATCATCATCATCATCATCATCATCATCATCATCATCATCATCATCACCATCATCAGCATCAGCATCAACATCATCATCATCATCATCATCATCATCATCAGCATCATCAACATCAACATCAACATCAACATCACCATCATCAGCGTCATCATCAGCATCATCAAAATCATCAGCAGCATCATCATCACCATCATGGTCATCATCACCACCATCAGCATCATCAACAACAGCATCGTCATCATCAACATCATCACCACCACCGGAATCATCGTCATCATCACCAGCGCCGCCGTCAGCATTACAATCACCAGCATGATCATGATCCAGATCATGAACATCAACAGCAACATCATCAGCATGAACATCATGATCACCACCATCACCATCACCATCACCATCTTCGTCATTGACATGGTCACCGTCATCGTCACCATGATCATCGCCATCATCAACATCACCATCGCCATCATCACCATTGTCATCGTCATAGCCATCGCCATTGGCATCATCACTGATCAGATGACGGCACGACGATGGTAAAGAACATCCTCCTCTCTCCCTCCTCCCCAGCCGAAGAAAGAAACCTCCCCCTCCCTCCTCCCCCTCCTCCAGGGTCCCCCCCCCCCCCTCCCCCTCCCCCTCCTCCTCCTCCTCCCCCTCCTCCTCCTCCTCCTCCTCCTCCCCTCCTCCTACCTCCTCCTCCTCTCCTCCCCCTCCTCCCCTCCTCTCCCCCTCCTCCATCCTCCTCCTCCCTCCTCCTCCTCCGCTCCCTCTTCCTCCTCCTCCTCCCCCTCCTCCTCCTCCTCCTCCTCCTCCTCCTCATCTCCTCCTCCCTCTTCCTCCTCCCCTCCTCTCCTCCTCCCTCCTCCTCCTCCTCCTCCTCCTCCTCGTCCTCTTCCTCCTCCTCCTCCTCCTCATCATCTTCTTCGTCATCGTCATCACCACCGCCGTCATCATCGTCATCGTCGATGTCGCCGCCTGTGCCGCTCGCCCAAGGCCGCGTTCGCCGACCGGCACAGGCCCGCCGTGCGCTGCAGAGTCTGCCGCAGGGCGTCCTCCTCCGGGCCTGTCGCGAGCGAAGAGCGCAGATTGAGGACAAACATTGGGCGCGTTCCGACTTCCGCAGGTTCGTTTCTTGCCGACTTCGGTTTGGGGAGGATTCCGAAAGTCTTCGTCGGCTCTCGGAGGCTTTCCCACCCCGGGATGCTTTCCCAGCAGCTGCGCCTCGCAGAAAGCGTCCCGGGGTTGCCAGAACCGTCCCGAATGGCCGCGGAAGGCCTGAGGTACTGTGGGGGCTCGGCCACAAGAAACCTCCGCAAGAAACCCAACCCTGAAATCCGCGATTTGTTCCGTGAGAATCCACATTTGTCGATCGAACATCTTCAAGATCTTATTGGGGGTTCACCGAAATCCAAGAAACCCAAGGCACCCTGGCAGAATCCAACTGGTTTCTTGGCACGCGCCCCCACTGCATGGCCCAGACGCAACAGCTTCATAATGCTCGGCGCATGCAGGCCGTGCTCGTGCCCCGCTCCCGTCAAGCGTCGATCCGAACGAGAGACTGGCCCGGAGGAACTGCGGAAGCGGTCCAGGTGACCAGGGAGGAGGGAGGAGGAGGAGGAGGAGGATGAGGGATGAGGGAGGAGGAGGAGGAGGAGGAGGAGGAGGAGGAGGAGGAGGAGGAGAAGGATGGATGGAACGTCATCAAAGAGGCCCTGGCGGTAGGAGAGGAGGAGGAAGGAGGGGAGGAGGAGGCGGAGGAGGAGGAGGAGGAGGAGGAGGAGGAGGAGGAGGAGGAGGGGGGGCGATCTCATACAGCATGTACATGCCCATTGGCCTCCGGTCTGGGACACCGGCGCGCGTTCCTGTGTGGATGCACGCGGCCCCCGTCAGCCCCCCGTTGGACCCTGCCCCCCTGCGTGGGGTGTTGGGATACGCGCCCCTCCCGGTTGGCCCGTCCCGTGGACGACACCGTCCTGTTAAATGACGATTCCGCCGGGGACACCTTCAGCAAAGTCGCCCCGAATCCATGGGGTTGCGGCCGAAAAGGCCGGACTTGCGAGGCCGCACCGCCCGCACCTCGCACCCGTCTTGGTCGGAAAAGAAGCAAGAAGAAGAAAAGAAGAAGAAAGGAAAGATGAAGAGATGCAGGGAAGAAAAACATGAAGCAGGAAGGCAGGTCAAGGAGATCAGGCTCATGCCTTCCGAGAGAATAGCAAAACACAGCAAAAGCACATCGATCCTTGAAGCATGAAGGCGCTTGAAATAGTCTGGGATCTGGGCATCCAAAAACACCAACTTTCGCCGACCGGCGTGGACGCTTCCCGCCCAAGGGCCTGGCCCGGCGCCTTCGCGGTCAAGCTTGGCTGGGCCTTCTGAGCCCTGCGCCTCCGCCTCCGCCTCCTTCGCCTGGGGGGTCAGCAGCAGCCAGCATCGAGCCGGGAGGTCGGACAAGATCGAAGGCGTGTCGGCTCGGGTCGCAGCGGCACGGGGTCGAGATGGAATCGGATCGGCCGCGCTGGAACGCACCGCGACATTCTAGCTAGAAGCGAGACGGACTGCGAATAGGTAGGTCCACAAAGCTCAAGGAGGTGTCCGACGATCGTCCCGTTTTTGAGTAGGAAGGACCCTCCATCCGTGAAGCTGTTACACTGTTCAACACTTGCTGCAGTTTAAGAAGAGCCGCCTTCCATCGTTCTTGCGGCTGCACATTTCTACACTTCTGGTCACACGTTTTGCAATGTTTCAACCGAGGGCCCCGTTTTCAGAAAAAAAAAAAAAAAAAAAAAAAAAAAAAAAAAAAAAAAAAATCAATCCTTCTCCACCGACCTCCGCTCCGCTCGCCCCCCCTCTCCCAAGATCAAACATCGCGTTTAAGACGGGGAGGGTGTCCCCATACGAGCCCCTCAATGTAGCTCCGAGGCGCTCGGAGCCGCCAAATCCACCCCCCGTCGCCTCCAAGATGTCTTCCAAGACGGCTCAAGAAGGGCTTCGGGGATCCAACACGCTGGAGGCGTCAAGATAGCCCGAGAGGACCCCCAGGCCTCAAGAGGGATCCCAGAGGACACCCAGGCCTCAAGAGGCACGCATCATTGATACTCCTCAAGTCTTTTCAGTCGGCTCACCTTGTTGGCCTTCTGACAGCACAAAGGCCGCCTGAGAGGGCCCCCCAGACCGGCCCAAGACTACCCAGGAGGCCCCCCAAAGGGCCCAGAGAAGGCCCAAGACGACGGCCCGAGAAGCCACCAAGACAGCCCAAGAGGCCCCCAGGAGGGGCCCAAGAAGCGGAACTCGAAGGGGCACCGTCTCCCCTCAAGATGGCGCCGAAGTCCACAAACATGTCCCAAAGCAGCCCCCGAGAAGTCCCCGAGACGCCTCCAAGAGACCCACGAGATCCCCTGGAGGCCGCCAGGATCCTTCGAAAGGCTTGAAAGCCCCCCCAAGACCTCCCCGAAGTCCCCAAGAAGCCCTTCAACAAACGACAGGTCGCTTGCGAATCCCCCATCGCGAGTTCCCCCATCTGGGGGTCAGCGGAATGGCGTACGCCTCTTGAGAAAGTGTTGGAAGTGTTCATGACGAACGTGCGCGAAACTATGACGATAACCGCATCTTGAAATCACCCGCCTTCCATCCATGTAGTTTGCAGAAGATTGGATAATAATGCGGTAAGTAAGGTAAACACCTTTTGAAAGTACCCGCCCTCCATCAGTGTAAATGGCCGAAGCTTCTGACACGAATTTGCGCGGCGCTAAAGCAATAACCGCATTTTGAAAACGACCCGCCTTCCACCCGCGTAGCTGCTTGGAGTGTCAAGCTTAAGGGTCATAATCGGTGAGGTGGTCCCAAGCATGACGCTCTGCCCGCCCTACTAGCACGTCTGGTGGTGCGACGGGGGCTAGACATACTCAAGCAAGAGGGTTGGACACATAATAAGGGACAGGGAGAGGGCGGAGGAGGAGGAGGGAGAGGATGATGAGGAGGAGGAGCAGGAGGATGATGATAAGGAGGAGGAAGGGAGAGGGAGAAGCAAGAGAAGAAAAAGGAGGATTAGGGGGAGGAAGGCAACAACGAATGCGGGCCGGGGAAGCCTGATTCGTCCTCCTGCCCCTGTTCCTGCTCCTGCTCATGTTCCTCCTCCTCCTCCTCCTCCTCCTCCTC